TGCTTCCTTAACATCAGAAAAACAGGTACAATAGATTAGGAGAAAACAAAATATACAGTAGGTAGAGTTCCAAAATGCTGGTTAAAAATGAACCAGTGGTCAGTGCGCTGACTCCAACTCACGATGACCCCATGTGTGTCAGAGTGGAAGTGTGTTCCACAGAGCTTTCAGTGGCTGATTCTTCAGAAGAAAATCACCAGATTTTTCAGCCAAGGTGATTCCTGGGTGGACTAGAACCTCCAACCTCCCGGTTAGCAGTCAAGCACATCAACTCTTTGCAGCACCCAGGGAGTGGCCTCCAATGTATAACCTCTGAGGCTCAAATGCAGTGCTTGGTTGGTGGGGACCTGCAGAGTGAAGGGCATGAACTGAATTCCCCAGGCTAGGGGCAGAGGATGGAAGACCAAGCAAGACCAGAGGATCCTCTCCAGGACCCAGGAGGCCGCCCAAGCTCAGCAGGGAACAACAGGTAGACAAGGAAACACACACTAGGTTGTTTCAGTATGTTTTTAAGGTAGAGATTTTTCTAGAATAAATTTAAAGTACCCATGGAAAATAAACAAGTTCTAAGTGTTCTGGAGGCTTTGTAATGCAAAGGTACGCAACAAAAGTCTACCAGGACACTACCAAGAAGAGCCACCAGGCAACAGCGTCCAGCTGAACTGCTCACGCCCCCGATAGTCATTTTCTCTTAAAACAGGATTGACATCTCCCCAAACTGCACTAGTAGAGATGTTTTCCCTTTTGCCTATTATTTTTTCTTTCAATTTTTATTGAGATTTGGGTGAAAGTTCATGGAGCAAATTCATTTTCCATACGGCAGTTCACATACACTTTGTCTCATAATATTGACTGCAATTTCCTACCATGCAAGAGCTCTCTTCTCATTTCTTCCCATTACCTCTTCCCTGTGTCCTTCCTTCCCATGCACTCCTGCCCCTGAGCTGTCTCCCTGTGCATAAACAGCCCTTCTATTGTCCCATGACTGATCTCCCCATGGAATGTGTCTACCTAATGTAAATGTTCAGTTCATACAGCTATCTTTTGTTTGGCTGGAAACCACAGGAGTAGGTTCAATTCCAGACCTGAAGGGCAGCTAGGGGTCATAGTTTCAGGGATTTCACCAGGCTCTGTCAGACCAGAAGACCTGGTCCTTTTTTATTTTTTTATGATTTGAGTTTTGTTCCACATTGTTCTCCTTCTCTGTGCATAGATCCCCCTCTGAGTGGTTGACAGTAGTAGCCAGGCACCATCTACTTCTTCTGGTCTCATAGTCACATAGGCTGAAGATCACATGGTGGACAAGTCCCTTGGACTAACTGTTTCCAAGTGTCTTTGGTTTTCTTCATTCTTCTTTGCTCTGGATGAGGAGAGACCCATCATTGCATCACTTGCAAGCTTTTAATATCCCAGTAACTACTCACCAAAGCAGGATGTGAAACAATGTTTTTGTGTAGTATGTCATGCAAACTGAGCTTGATGTCCCCTGAGACCATGGTCCCAAGCCCATGGGTCCAGGTAGCTGGCTGTGGAAGTGACTACAACCTTGTCCCTTGTCAGCTCTACTATATACCTAAAATTCTCACAGAACACACAAATACACTTGTAGAGACACTCTGCCAACCCTTTCACCCATATTAATCACTGGGAATTTGGCTATCAGAATCTTCCAGAAAGTAGTACTTTGACTGTCTTCAACATTTAGGAATAAAACCAGTTTGCCTTTTAAGTGATGCTGAGACTGGGTGGTGTGATGGTTAAGTGTTTGTCTAGTCGGTAGGTGGCCCCATGGGAGGAGGACCTGGCAATCTGCTCCTATAAAGATTGCAGCATAGAAAACTCCGTAGGGTAGCTCGACTCTGTCACATGGGCTCGCTCTGACTCACAACTGACTTAATAGCACCTAATAACAAGTTTATTTAAGTGTGCTTCACTGCACAAGCTGGCAGACTCAGCAAAGTCACTTCTCACGGGTCTTTGATACAGCCAGCAATACAGTACATCTTTTTCTTACACACTGCTTTCAACTGTGCTACACTAACAACTTTAAAAAAAAAAAATTGTGATTTGGGTGAAAGTTTACAGAGCAGATTCATTTTCCATACAGCAATTCATACACATTTTGTTTCATGACATTGACTGCAATTCCTCACAATGCAACAGCTCTCTTCCCATGTCCTCCCCATAGTTACTTCTTCCCTGTGTCCTTCCCTCCCATGCACTCCTCCCCCTGTGAGCTGTCTCCCTGTGCAAACACTGCCCTTTTGTTCTCCCATGATTGATCGCATCAAGGACTGTATTTAACTGATGTAAATGTTCATCCCACACGCCTGATTGTAGTTTGGCTGGAAGCCATAGGAGTTCAGTTGCAGATCTGATGCGTAATCAGGACCATAGTCTCAGGGGTATCACCAGGTTCTAACAGACCAGCAGACCAGGTCTTTTTTTTTTTTTTTTTTTTTATGATTTTGAATTTTCTTATATTCTTTTCCCTCTCTCTTCTCCTCTCCTTTTTTTTTTTTTTTCTCTCTCCAGCAGTTGGTAGCCAACAACCCAAATCAGTGATATCCAACCACACCCTGCTGCCCCATCCATTGAAAGAGTGCCACCACGTGCTCTAGCACCACTGGCTTGATGACATATGGCAGCCAAAGCCCTCTCAGCCTTCCCTCAGCTGCCCTGCACAATCAGTGATCAGGGACTCATGCCCACACTCTCACCACCTACCAAATCCACCTGGAGACAGGAGATGAGCACCTCAGT